CCAGCTTCTTGCCCCTCTGGCAGGCCCTACAGGACTGGACCCAAGATGACCCCCTGCCAGCTTCCCCTCCATACACACACCCCCCCACCCCCCGCGCAGGGAGTGTTGATCTAGAAACTTCTCCTCCACCCCCCGAGGTCCACTCCCTGGAAACGCCCCCTCTGCTTCTCTGTCAAGTCTTCCAGTGAAGGCATTTTGTTTCAGTGGGACGCATGTGTTTCTAATTTTGGTAGCTATTCTCAGATTCCCTTCCAGAGGTGTTAAACCAGGTTTTAATCCCACCAGCAGCCTGTGAGTGTGTTTCTCCACGCCCTCAGCTGTGTAACTGCCAGTTTGATAAAGTGCCTGCTCCTTGTGGGTTTAACACACGTTTCTCTTACTAAGAGTGAAGCTAAGCATCTCGTATGTTAAAACCATTGCGTTTCCTTTTCCATGAACCACTGGCTTACCTCGTTTGAAGACTGTGTTTTCCATTTCTCTACACATTTCTCCATGCTCCCCAGACCCCGACCAGAACCTGGGACTAAGGTTTAAGGACTAACTCAATCCTCAGGGTTGAGGATTTCTGAATCGTTGGGCAGCAGCAGCAGCTGTTCCCAGGTGTAAGAATTCAATTGGCCATCCTCTGGGAAGGAAGTTAGTCACTAGGTTGTGACTCTTTCCAAGTCCATGGACTGTAGCCCCCAGGCTCCTCTGTCCATGGGATTCTCCAGGGAAGAATACTGGAGTGGGTTGCCATTCCCTGTTCCAGGGAATCTTCCCGACCCAGGGATTGAACCCAGGCCTTCTGCATTACAGGCAGATTCTTTTCTGTCTGAGCAAACCAGAAGAGCAGGGTTTAATTTTTGAGGGCATACTGCCCTCTGCTGGTAAAGCTGAGTTCCTCCACTTGGAGCAGCGGAGGAGGCTGGGCAGCTCTGTGATGGGGGCGGGGTGGTAGGGGGATCTGCTGGTGCCTCTGGACTCTGGGTTTGATTGTACCCAGCTGTTTACCGCTGTGTGGCTTTGGGTAAGTAGCTTCACCTCTCTGGGTTAACTCTGTATCTGCAAAATGGGGATAATAACTGTTCGTCTCATTCACAGCTTTGTTGGAGGAATAATCAGGTAACGGGATGTGCAGGAGCTTAACAGAGGAGATGGCTCAAAAGAAGCTAGATAAATAATAGCTGGGGGTTTTCTTGGGAGGGGGTGTTTGTGTGTTTTGCTGGTAGCTGGAATTCTTGACATTTAGAAAGACCAGGGAGGGGGAGAGAAAGGCTGGCCTGGAGCTGAGTAAAGGAGACATTATTGGGGCTGGATTTCCACGGGTTCACCACTGCCTCGCCAGCTTCCAGACCTCAGTTTCCTCTTCTGAGGAATGGCCACTGCACTGCACAGCACGGGTGGGACATGCAGCAATGCCTGGGGCCCTGGGGCCCCATGCCTGACCTGGGCAGGGCCCCAGCCTCCCCCTATATTGGGCCAGGCACACAGAGGGCTGAGCAAATCTAGGCTGAACACCCACCAAGACATTCGGGCTCCCCTAGCCTGGACTCCATGCCAGGGACGCACAGGGGCCTCCTGGAGGCATTTTTTTCCCCGAGAAGCACTCCGATGGAGGGGACCCCTGTGATCACATTTCTAGTTCTTTGGTGCTGCTGGGTGAGGGATGTTTTTATATGAGCCAATCAAACAGCCACAGGGCCCTGTCTTCATATGTGACAGTCAACTCCTGCCTAACTGATGGTTACCCTCAGGTCCGTCCTCTGCTCTAAAACCTCCCGTGACTGCGCATTGCCTGATTCTTTTCCTTGACATTCAAGGTTGCCCATGGCCCAAGTTCGATCTGTCTGTGAGGGGCACCCCGAGGCTGCATGAGGACCACTCACTAAAACCCTGCGCTTCCTTTAAGGTTAAAGGGCACTTCAGTCATTTATTCCCCTATCATGCAGTTGCTCATTCAACACAATCTATTAAACACATAAATTATTTATTAATACATCTTTATCACCTACCAGACAAAGACATCGTTCTAGAGCTGGAGTAGAAAGAGACAGTGGTCTTAACCAACTGTAACTAAAATGTCTTAATTTTGCACATTTTCTCAAATGTGACCCTGTAAATGCATCGCAGAACCCCCACCCCCACCCCGCCCCCCAGCCTGCAAAAGTCTTGGTTGGTTAGTTGCTAAGTTCTATCCCACTCTTTTGCAAACCCATGGACTGTAGCCTGCCAGGCTCCTCTGTCCATGGCATTTCCCAGGCATGAATACAGGAGTGAGTGAGTGAAGTCGTTCAGTCGTGTTCAACTCTTTGCGACCCCATGGACAGTAGCCTGCACCAGGCTCCTCCGTCCATGGGATTTTCTAGGCAAGAGTACTGGAGTGGGTTGCCATTTCCTTCTCTAGATCTTCCTGATCCAGGAATTGAACTCGTGTCTCCTGCATCGCCCGTGTCTGCCGCATTGCAGGAGTATTCTTTACCGCGGAGCCACCAGGGAGAGGGGTGTAAATCCACCTCTGTGTCCAGCCCCGAGGGACCGTCTCCCAGCGCAGAAACTGAGCTCCAATGTGTTGATTCCTGGTTCTGTCACCAACCACCTACGTGCCCTTGGAAAGCCGTTTTCCCAAGTCTCAGATTATTTATAAGTGATACTCACGGTTCGCCTGGCTCCCGGCAACTTGAGGGATCCAGAGATTTGCTCCCTCTGCCCACTGGAGGGCACCAGAAACCACAAATGACATGCCGGCTCTGTACCCTGGCTAAGCAGGTGTCCCGGAGCTCCCGAAACCGGTAAGAGCGAGGGGTTTCTGAACCACAAAGAGACTCCACAAGGCCAGCCATGGGCCTGGTAGTTTCCTGTGCTTCTATGTCTGGAGCAATGATGGGGCAGGTTGCATCTGGCCTAAAAGGGCTCCCCAAACCTTGGGCTGCTGGTTCGCACTCCCTAAGCCCTCATGTCCATTCCTCACCGCATCCCACAGCCCAGGATGGTGTGGGTAAGAGACTCTGGCTTCCCAAGCGGGCTCTTCACGTTTCAGTCTGCGTGACCTTGGGCAATTGACTTGACCTCGCTGAGCCTCGGCGTCCTTTTCTATAAAATGGAAACGTTACTGGTCCCAATAAAGGGAAAAGCCTCTCTGTGGAGAAGGTATGGCCTTGATGGTTTGTGTTGCTTACAGTCAGTAAATATACTACAGTGTAATCAGCTGTTTCCTGTTGATGACAAAGGTAATGTGCTGATTAATCCGAACATTGTACTGAGCATCTTACCATGAACCTAGCCCTGTACTGGTTAAGAAGATTGGCAAAAATGAAGCTAGGGGTTTTGTTAGGGGTAGTGGGATTCTGGGTGATAGATTTTCCCCACCTCAGCCCCCCTCTGTATCCTCCAAACTCTACGCAAAGTTTGTTTTTGTTTTTGGCTGCTCCGGGTCTTAGTGACATTATGTGGGATTGGCATGTGGGTTTTTTTTTTCAGTTGCAGCATATGGGATCTTTAGTTGTGGCATGTGGGATCTAGTTCCCTGACCAGGGATCAAACCCAGGCCCCCTGTAATATGAGCACAGAGTCTTAGCCACTGGACCACCAGGGAAGTCCCCAAACTCTCTACAATGTGGATGCACTGACTTTACAGTGATAGAAAAGGAAGACGGGGAGGAACGCTGATGGGACACCTACTATGTACCAGACGTTTCCGCTTTATCCTTCCTCTAGGGCTGCGGGCTCCAGGCAGATGGGGACCAGCTGGCTTGCTCACTGCCACTTTCTCCATGCCTAGCATGATGCCTGATACGTAGTAAGTCCTCAATAGAAACATGTCTAATGACCAAGAATGACTTGGGCAACATTTACAAAGGAGGAGCTGAGGTTCAGAGAGGTGGTCCTGCCTGTCCGAGGTTACCCAGCCAGTGGGACGCAGGGCTGGGATCCGGAGGAGCTCCTTTCCGCTCAGTGTCTGTCCTGCCTCCCTCCATCCTCATACTCTCTTTGCCCAAAACAGCTTAGTTTACAAATATAGACTTTGGGGGAGAAGAGGGAGGGCGGGGGAGGGAGAGGCGACCCGGGAGTCGTTGTGGGCCGTGGGCCGGACCGGGTCCCGGGAAGGCGGGAGCCAGGGCCGGGCCGAGGGGCTTGGCGGGCCGTTAGCGGGCCGCGGCGGCTGTAGGGTCTCCTCCCCTGCCGGACTTGCGCGCCCCGGCGCTCGGAGCCTCCGGTGCTGTGCCCACCCCGCTCCAGCTCGCGTCTCCCAACTCCAATTAGAGCAACCGGACGGCCATGGAGGCCGAAGAGACGATGGAATGCCTTCAGGAGTTCCCTGAACATCATAAAATGATCCTGGACCGATTGAATGAACAGCGAGAGTAGGACCGGTTTACTGACATCACCCTGATTGTCGACGGACACCATTTTAAGGCCCACAAGGCTGTTTTGGCTGCTTGCAGCAAGTTCTTCTATAAATCCTTTCAGGAGTTTACTCAGGAACCTTTGGTGGAGATAGAAGGTGTTAGTAAAATGGCCTTTCGTCATTTGATTGAGTTCACATATACAGCAAAGTTAATGATACAAGGAGAAGAAGAAGCCAATGATATATGGAAATCAGCAGAGTTTCTACAGATGCTAGAAGCTATCAAAGCCCTTGAAGTCAGAAACAAAGAAAACAGCTCCACTAGAGGAAAATACCACAGGGAAAAATGAAGCAAAAAAAAGAAAGATTGCAGAAACTTCAAATGTTATCACTGAGTCATTGCCATCTGCAGAATCTGAACCTGTTGAAATTGAGGTGGAGATTGCCGAAGGCACAATCGAAGTGGAAGATGAAGGCATCGAAACGTTGGAGGAAGTGGCTTCTGCCAAGCAGTCCATAAAGTACATTCAGAGCACAGGTTCCTCTGATGATTCCGCTCTGGCATTGTTGGCAGATATTACCAGCAAGTACCGCCAAGGCGATAGAAAAGGGCAGATTAAAGATGAAGACGGCTGTGCATCTGACCCCACAAGCAAACAGGTAGAAGGAACACATGAAATCACACTCCACTGAGAGTTTCAAGTGTGAAATATGCAATAAAAGGTATCTTCGGGAGAGCGCGTGGAAACAGCACCTCAGTTGTTACCACCTGGAAGAAGGTGGAGTCAGTAAGAAGCAGAGAACTGGGAAAAAAATACACATATGTCAGTACTGTGAGAAGCAGTTTGACCACTTTGGACATTTTAAAGAGCATCTTCGAAAACATACAGGGAAAAACACAGCTCAGAGTTATTCCTTGACTGTGTCGGTTCCACGTGAAAAACCTTTTGAATGTCCAAATTGTCATGAACGATTTGCTAGAAATAGTACCCTCAAATGTCACTTGACTGCATGCCAAACTGGAGTGGGAGCAAAAAAGGGGAGAAAGAAGCTCTATGAATGTCAGGTCTGTAATAGTGTGTTTAACAGCTGGGACCAGTTCAAAGATCACCTGGTGATACACACTGGAGATAAACCCAACCATTGTACTCTGTGTGACTTGTGGTTTATGCAAGGAAATGAATTAAGGAGGCATCTCAGTGATACTCATAATATTTCAGAGCGCCTGGTAACTGAAGAAGTTCTTTCAGTAGAAACACGTGTGCAAACTGAACCTGTGACGTCAATGACTATTATAGAACAAGTTGGGAAGGTGCATGTGTTACCACTGCTCCAGGTTCAGGTGGACTCAGCACAAGTGACTGTGGAACAGGTCCATCCAGATCTGCCCCAGGACAGCCAAGTGCACGAGTCGCACATAAGTGAGCTTCCAGAGCAGGTCCAGGTAAGTTATCTAGAAGTGGGGCGAATTCAGACTGAAGAAGGTACTGAAGTCCATGTAGAGGAGCTGCATGTTGAACGGGTAAATCAGATGCCAGTGGAAGTACAAACTGAGCTTCTAGAAGCAGACTTGGATCAAGTGACCCCTGAAATCATGAACCAAGAGGAGAGAGAGCCTACCCAGGCAGATGCTGCTGAGGCTGCTACAGAAGAACACGAAGATGCTGAGGCTTTAGAGACCAAATCAACAGTGGATTCCCAAGCCGAAAAGGCAGGAAATGAGAACAGAACACCTATGCCAGTTTTAGAATGAAATAACAAATGCATATATTTTTAAAGTTATCTGTTGGGTTTTTGAACTGATGATGGGCAGTGTGACTGTCCTTACGCTAACAGACATGTGGACCAAAGTTAAACTTTCCTGTTGTGCTGAACTGTTTCTATGGAAGCAGACTGATTTCCCCCCACTTTGCCACAGAGGAGGGATCTTTCCCATAAGTGAATGGGAAGCTTTGAGAAGTATATTTCTAGAAAACTTAAAATGGATTATATTCTTATTATATAGTTGGGTACGAATGTATATTTTCATTGTGGTAAGAGTTCTTACTCTCCTTCCCTGGTCATGTCCTTCCTCAAGTCCCCCCGCCCCCCCCCCCGCCCCATGTTGTAAAATCAAATGTAAAATCATTAGAATACAAGTTTATGTATTCTAATGCATGTTAGAAAATTTGAATATATAGGAAACAAGACTGCATGAAGAAAAGTGCATTGTTACTGTGCAGTTAAATTTTGGCTTCTGGCTTCCTTTAGCTTGAACAACATCCTTGTCTGCCCTGATGGATAGTAATAGATGTCATCTCTGCAACAGAAACAGAATGGTGGTGGCGAATTTCTAGAATGTTTAAAAAAAACACACACACACCCATGTGCCTTTTCAAAACCAACTAAACTTCTATAAAGCATCTCTAGTTCTTTCAAAATTTGTGTTGTAAGCAGTGTAGGTGATGCTGTAGTACTTTATATTTTTTTTCCTATAATGACAGCTACCAATTCTTTTTCACTTAGATTGAGAAATTTCATTTAATGGCAGCTGAAGGGCCATTTTCAATTGGGAAAATTCATTTATATCTGTGGTAAACTTTATTTTGATGAAAAGTTGCACTAGTAATTTTACCACCAGATGAAAACAAGATGAGCATCATTTAAAAATTAATGTATTTAAAATAAAGTACAGAGAAAAACATGTATATAATATATCAGGCTTTGTTTTGAATGAATCTTTTCCCCCAATCCTTAATGTAAAGATCTTGTGCTATAACTTTTAAAGCCATACAAATAAGAGTGCTAAACTGTGGACTTAAAAGTAGGTGTGTAAATATTTTTAATCAGTATTACTTGGAAAATAAAATATAACAACTACAGAAAAAAAAAAAAAACAAATATAGACTTTGGTAGTTCTGGTTAAGCAACAACCCCAAGGGGCAGGTGTTAGAATTTACCCCGTTTACAGGCAGGACAACTGAGGCACTGATCAGTTAACCAGCTTGCTCAGATCACACAGCCAGTAAGTGGGAGGACCAGGATTCTGAGCCTGCCGGTTGCTACAACGCTCGCAGGTGACTACTCTGCATGCGGCCTCCCAGAGGGGCGGCTGGATGTGAATCTTGTCTTCTCGATACCTTGGGGAGCCCTGGAGGCCCCGGATCATGCCTTTTTCTGTGCTGCCCCTGGAGCCCCTGGCACAGGGTTGGGCGACCTCAGGCCCTCAGTTTAGCTCCTCTGGTCGGAGGGTGCTGGCCATTAGGTGAGGACCCTTGGTCACTGTAGCCCTGTTTGGAAGGTAGTTGGTGATCCTGGGTTTCTAGTGCAAGGTCAGCTGTACCCTTTGAGTCTAGGACTACCTGTCCATGCCCCACCCAGGCCTGTAGACACCTTCTAGCAGCGGCGCTTTGAGGATGTGGGGAGGAGGCAAGGGCTGGACTTTGGCCCCTTCATCTGCACCCCTTTCCCACTCTCAGACGGATGTTTGTCCAGTAGTGTATGGGCTGTGTGCACATGACATATATATACATATATATGCAGATGAGCCCACATGTACACATGCATTTCCGTACACATGCCTTTGGATATGAGCCATCATGTGTGTGAGTACACACGTGTATCTGGCTGTGGTATGTGTGCTCCTGTCTGAGGGTGCAGGTGTGGACTTAAATGTGAGCCTGAGTTTATATGAGGCTTTGCACGTGTATGTGATGTGGAAAAACAGAGCACCAAAGTGGAAGGGCATCTCTTTGCCTAGCCTCAGTTTCTTCATCTGTAAAATGGGAACAGTAATGGTCCCTAACTGGTAGAACAGTGTTAGACACACAGAAAGTGCCATATATTGGCTGTTATTGTTACTAATAATCTCCCAGGGGCTGTGTGGAGATTCCACAAAATAATGGCTTGGAGGGTCTGGCTCAAGAATTGTTCATCCCATCATCCTTAGATTAGTAGTTGTTTTTTTTTCCCTTTTTCCTTTTCCCTCGGTTTTATCATCGCAAAGGTAATACAACAATGTTCTATTTTGGGAAATAGAGGTGGGGAAGGGTGGGATATCTCTCACCCAGAACTCCTGTCACCCTCAACACAAGTAGTATTTTACTCTCTTTAACTAAAGTATGGTTTCTGTACAATACTATATAAGTTACAGATGTACAACATAACAATTCAGAATTTTTAAAGGTTATGCTCCATTTATAGTTATTGTAAAGCATTGTCTATATTCCCCATATTGTACAATATATCCTTGAAAGTGAAAGTTGCTCAGTCGTGTCCAACTCTTTGCGGCTCCATGGACTATAGAGTCCATGGAATTCTCCAGGCCAGAACACTGGAGTGGGTAGCCTTTCCCTTCTCCAGGGGATCTTCCCAACCAAGGGATCGAACCGGGGTCTCCTGCACTGCAGGTGGATTCTTTACCAGCTGAGCCACAAGGGAAGCCCAAGAATACTGGAGTGGGTAGACTATCCCTTCTCCAGGGGATCTTCCTGACCCAGGAATCAAACCAGGGTCTCCTGCATTGCAGGCAGGTTCTTTACCGACTGAGCTATCAGGGAATATCCTTGGAGCTTATTTTATATCTAGTAGTTTGTGCTTCTTAATTCTCTACCCCCATATAGTAGTTTCGTTTTTGCTATTCCTTTTCAGACTTTGTCCATAAATAAGATCGCATGAGCCTTAGCACCAGGATGGTGCTTAAAGCATATTTGGGTGAATTAAACATTTTTTTCAGCTTAGATGGTTAAACTGAGTATTTTAAAGTGTACATTTATTATTATTATTATTATTTAATTGGAGTATAATTGCTTTAAAATGTTGTGTTGCTTTCTGCTGTACAACAACGTGGATCAGCTCTGTGTATGCATATATTCCCTCTCTGCTGACCCTCCCTCCCACCCACCTCCCCCCCAGGTCATCACAGAGCACTGAGCTGAGCTCCCTGGCTATGAGCAGCTTCTCACTTGCTAGCTAGTTCACACTTGATAGTGTATATATGTCAACTAAACTGAGTATTTTTTATCCTGCTTGTGTTCACTTATTTTGGGCATTTTCCATGGAATGGCCAGTAATTTATAATTATTAGAAATAATAGAAGAAAATTAGAATTGTCCCAATGCCCCCAAAGCTGGGAAATAGTTGATTTATGGAAGAGCCACTTTAAGAAATGTTGTGGGTTAATAACAGACCTGTAAGATTTTTTTTCTTTCTTTGTGATGAGTTAGTGCTGCCATATTAGGAATGGGACGTCCCAGGATTTATCTGTCCCTGGACATGAAGGGGATTCCATTGAAAAAATGAGACAACAACCATCAAACAAATGCAGGTCAAAACTACAGTGAGATACCACTACACACCCATTAGGGTGACTATATTAAAAAAGACAGATAATAACAACTGTCAGTCTGGGTGTAGAAAAATGGGAACCCTTGTACACTACTGGTGGGAAAATAAAATGGTGCAGCTGCTTTGGGAAACAGTCTGGCAGTTCCTCAGAAGATTAAAAATAGAGTTACCATATGACCCAGCAATTCCTCTCCTAGGTCTATACCCAAGAGAAATGAAAACATATGTCCACATACAAATGTTCACAGCAGCATTATTCACAAGAGCCAAAAGATGGAGACGATCTAAATGTCCATCAGGTGATGCATGGATATATTAAATACCATCCATCCACACCATAGACAATTTCCTGGCAATAAAAAAGAATGAAGTATCCAAAAAAAAAAAAAAAAGGAATGAAGTACTAATGTATGCTACCCCATTGATGAACCTTGAAAACATTATGTTCAGTGAAATAGGCCAGTCACAAGAGGACTCTGTGTGCTTTCTATCTGGTATGATTCCATTTATAGGCAAATCCACAAAGACAGAAAGTAAATTGGTGGTTGCCTTGGGCTGGGAGGGGTGGGAGATTAGCAGGGAGGGGGGTGGCTGGGGAGTGACTCCTCATGGGTACAGGATTTTATGAGGGGGGATGATGAAAAATTGATTGTGATGAGTATAGTAAACACCATTGAATTATATACTTTAAATGAGTAAATTGTATAGCATGCAAATTTTATCTCAACAAAACTGCTATAATATTTTTTTAAAAGGGATAGAGACCCAAGATGACAATGAAAACATACATTGTCGTTTATTTAAGGACATGGACTATGGGCCAAGTGCTTGGTAATCTCATTTAACTTTCACAAACATCTTGGTTATTTTCCCCATTGTACCGATGAGGGACACTGAGATTCAGAGTGTTTGAGTAAGCGGCCCAGAGTCACTCAGCTCTTTAGTGGTAGAGCTGTGGTTTGAATCTAGGCTCATTTTTAGGTCCATGCTCAGCCTGCAGTATTTTGTTGCAGTTCCAGTGCAAGATGGCAGCCTGGGAGGATGCTGAATTCACTGTCTCCCACACACTCACTGAATCTCCAGCTACATATGGAACTGTTTCCTATGGGAAAAGTCCTCTAAAACTAGCTGAGGGACTCCTACGCATCAGGAGAACATGAAAAAGCCCACGTGGAAGCAGGTAGGACAGGCTGGGACACAGTCTCATCACAGACCCCATCCCTGGCATGGTGACTCACAATTAGGAAGGAATTCTAAACCTTGACCTTCTCCCCGAGGAGTGAAAGGTCTGAACCTCACATCTGGTGTGCTAACTTTTCAGACCTGCATCTTAAGTATTTTTGCTGCTTCTTGGAAGGGGCCAGGAGCCGGTGCACCAGGCCAGCTGGACAAACATGCAGCTTACAGGACATGTGGGGCCCAAGGCCT